CGGACTGGTTCTTTTCTATCTATAGATAATTAAAATGGGCATTGTGAATCGGTCCAGTGCAATTGCTGCATAAGATGGTAATTTGTTGATTATGAAACCCCAAGTCTTTGAATCCAAATCCGCATTAATTGAGCGACTACTATAAGGTTTGGTAGAGCCTTTGCGGTGTTGAGCGGCTTGCTATAGAACATGAAGCGTAGCTCATTCACCTTATGATCAAACACTTCGTCATAATGTTATAGAAAACCTTAGAACTGCTACAGTGGGCTCTTTAAATGAATCATGTGGAAGACCTCTATCTGTGGCTTCTATCCCCAATTTGGAGAAGCCACAATCTATTCCGTTGTTATTATTCGGAAGCTTACCTTTTTTATTATTTTCCATAACATTTTTTGTCTAATATCATTGCAGATTTTATCCTGGTTGTTTAACTCAAAGTCTAATTCGTGTTTACAAGAAACTTTATTAAATATCCATCCAACATCGCTTGTAACAAATCTTCCTCGATTTTTTTGAATCACATAACCATTTTGCTTCTTCATCGAAAAGTATACGAAGAGAAACTCGGATCAGAAGAATCTCTTTATAAGTACATTTTGCTGCTCATATACTTTCATGTCAAGGGGTTTGTAAATTGGTTTCAATGGAAGCCAAGAAAAGATCGCCTTCTCATTGTGGCTCCTCCAAATCCACCCTGAAGTGTATGTGCAACAAGCAAGAAATATCCAAAAAAACACATGTCGCTAAATTAGAAAGGATTACAAGCGGCTACCACTCTTTCTAGAGTTTCTGCGAATTATATTTCAAGTAAGGTTTCGCCCTCTGGCGAGATGTTTGTCTCGACGGGACAGACGAATGCTCAGCATGAATGCATCGGAATAAAACAGTGTCCGAGGACTTTAACTCTCGAATCAACGACTGCCACGTCATGGCCATCTTTTTTCTGTTTCTGATGCAGCCAATTTTTTAATCTTTCCACTCGCCTTTTTTATAGAATTAAAGATATAACACTCAATTTTATGCCTACTTTAACTATATTACCTCTAAAAGTGCTCATTAAAAGTAATAGCATGAAAGAAAAGCTGAAAGTCTGGACATTGGGAGATGAATCGGGAGGCTGAAGTATGGGAAGATAATACTTATGTATGCAAGGAAAAGTTGGATTTCGAGAAATCTCATGGTTTATAATTGCCTAGCTAACTTCCGTTTCGAGTGAACATGGTTGATGAAAAGATTCGAAGGTCGATCCCATCAGAATACGACAGTGGATATTACCCCTAGTGAGTCATCGATTGGCTTTACTGCATCATTCTGGTTGATTCCACTTCTGAGGCAGCGTTGATATCTCAGGCCTATTATCAACGAGATCATGGAATAAGCCGACAAGTCTTAGTTTTATATGACAAATTTGTCTAGGGATAATTCGACGTGACGACCAGAGTTAAGACTCGTTACCTCGAACAGGGTTCTGATAATGCTACTCTGCTCTGATGCCAATCATATGAAGAAGGAAAGCTCAGCACGCTTTCACCGGAATGTGAAATTGCTTCGAAAACGGCGTAAACAAGAATGTCCCACTTAAACCAACTGTAAGCTGGCCAAGAGGAATTCACTGTCTTCTACTGGTGGAATCGACCTTCGGATCTCTTCACCAAACTTTTAATAGAAATGGAAGCTCCAAACGGTTGACCACTGTTTGTGGTTTCCAAATTTTCCACAACGTCATTTCCTACCCCAACTTTTGCGTGTCTCAAAGTGTCGAGAATCGGCCAATAAAGGTATTCAAGGAGGCAATAATTTGACGCTTTAGTAAGAATAGGCCCCAAGCAGAATAAACTAGGCTAGATGTTTGGCAACATGCTCCTAATGCTATGCAAAGCATGGAAATAATCAAAAGTTGACCAAAACATTATCATCACAAACAATGTCATAAATAGCAAATCTTATTGTAGCGACTTTTATTTGGTGTGAAGATGTATAGGATGGCGAGATTCGTAGGTCTACCTCGCCGTACGATGACTGCGGAATCCGATTGCTCTGCATTAGTTTGGTATTGCCGTGACGTTCCAGTTGGCTCAGTCCACGAGAGATGCTCCGTCGGTTCAAGTGTGATCGGGCCGAGCTTTTGTGACTCACTTGAAAGCCATCTCTGGAGGTGGATCTCGTTGGCACTCATAAGCTTTCAAGCCCAGATGTACTTAATTTGAACTGCAAAACAGCTATCGATAAATATACCTAATATAGAAGTTGTTTGACCTTTTTTTCGCAACTTGGTCATGTTGGTAGGAAGACTTGGAGGAACCGTGGACATGTTACATTCCAAGACGTCTCGCCATTCGTAGCACCACAGCACAACTCGTCAACTCTTGTCCCTTTGACGAGTTATAATATGGTGCTACGAATGGCGAGACGTCTGGGAATGTACCACGTCCACGGCCCGACTGGAAATAATTATGCATACAACGGACTTAGGACAAGGTGCGTTTCTATAGGTCGTCCTACCAACATGACCGAGTCGCGAAAACAAGGTCTTCATATCTACGATTAGACCTAATATATTTACTGCTCTTTTGCATCATTTATCACGGGCATGCATGTGGTAAGAAAGATCCGGTTTGTGTCAACTTTAACTTTATTCACGAATGAGCCTCCGCTCCGATGTAGTTGATTGAGCAAATCCTGAGAAGAGTGCTCAATCGGCTTTCGGCCGAACCGACGAAGATCTCATGGACTGCTCAACCTGAACGCCAGCATGGCCTCAGGCGGTAATCCGCCGTCATCAGGCAACCGTGACCTGCACACCTCTTCGTCTCAGACGGCTTCGCACAAAATACAAGTCACAGTTTCCAGTCTCCGGCGATTGCACAACTCGAAGCGTACAGAGAGCAAGCACAAAAAACATGTCTCGGTTGGGTGCTCGTCGTTCCGGCACAAAGCAGTAAGAAAATAACGAAAATGTGCGCCATTCGCCCTGGGCGTAGGAGACCAGACGGCGCATGTAATGCTTTGGAATGATGAAGAAGCGACAAAGTAGCAGAACAACTGGAGCACTTACATCATCCCGCCAACTTATATGCCTTATGGAGACCCAGCTGTGCTTCTCACTGTCATCCTCCGTGCCCGCCTTCCGTGGCAGCATCGCGTCGCTATCCGAACGAGTCTAATCTGTATCCTTTAACCGGCTATTCCAGACGAACTGCAGACTGAAGCGTTTCGATGGTCTCACGGAGTCGAAGGCCATTTTAGCCTTCCATTTGTAGGGAGCGCCTGAAGGCGGCAGTCGCAAGCAGGCTAGCCCCGGGATGCTGCACTGTCTCGTGTGACACGGAGCCAATCAGTTAAGCCGGGGCCTGATCAATAAAATTAGCCGTTCAAACTTGACCTGGTCAAGGGCACAGGTTGAGAGCTCGGCTCGCCGGCTCGGCCGTACTCGTGACGAAGGCCGGCCGGGCCCAGTCGTCCGGCTCGGTCGCCATTTTAAGAAGCAGCGCCGGTTTGCCACTGAACGTGACGCCGACAAATGGACTACAATCAGGCTCAACATGAGGATGCATAATGGCCGGGAATTAGGGCCACGGCTTTAGTTACAAAAGTGGAATTGTGTTGTGCAATGTGTCCTTCAGGCAACACACAATTTCGCATCGCTATCCTGAGTTGGTTTGAGGCGAGAGAACTGGTCAAAGTGGCTGCGCAATCGCATGGCAAACTGGGCTCCGTATCAGCTTACGGTATCTCTTGTGCACATGGTAACTGGGTCTAGCAAGAAAGCACAAGTCGGGGGTATATCTGTCCAATCTATGAATAGGCATTAGTTAGGGTTGGTGATGAAATGACCAGTGAATACGCT